AGAGGCCCGCCGGGGCGGGTTCGGCCAAGCCGCTTCCATCGCTGGCTGAGGCTTGGCTCGCTTTTGCCACGGTATTTTCAGCAAATGTAACGTCTCCACATCCCCAGCCTGCGTTTTCCACTAGAGGGAGTGAAGAAGCCAGGTTTCATGAGAAAGTATCGGTGCTAGCACTTTGCAAAACTCGCCCTGCCACCATTTAATCTGCCCAACGAATTTCCTCTGCTATCAGCATCTTTTGTAAGAGGCCCTTGGTCAACCCTTTGTGCAATAACCTCTGCGAGAGAGACGCACGCAGGAGACCTGCTGTTTTCGGCAACCCATATAAGCGCTGCAGCACTGGTGTGTGCGCAGCTCTTACTGGAAAAATAAGGTGGAAATGCAGCTGCTTTCTACTGATATGTTTATTAATCAGCCGTTTGGCTGAATTAATAAAAGCACTGAAAGCCTGTAAAAAGCACTGAATCATATATATAGAGAAAGTGTCTTTTCTTGCTACATTTGCCTTTGTACAAGTTATTCACGTGTTGGCTCACAAGTGGTTTCTCACAGTAACTGAAGCCTCAAAACACTTTCTGTAGAAAGCTGGTAATTGGTGAACACCATAAAGTCATTCAAAATACACATGAGGGATAAAAAAGTAGCCTACTGATTAAGAATATCTCCAACAGCCTCTGGGAACCTTCAGCCCCCAGAAAAGCCGATGGAGCGGTGCTCACCCAGTTTCTCATGTTGTATTTAGGACATCTCAGACCTGTTATGCTGTTGAATTAATGTGGGGCCCTGGACCGCGGTCTCCTAAGTTTGCAGTTCCCCACGGCTTGCAGCTATTTTCAGAGCCGTGTAGTTTCCCCAGCAGAGTCTGGCCCAGCCCAGTCTGCCTCTGAGTCCCTTTTTGCACAGGAGCTGACAGAGATAAAGCATCCACTTGCTTGGTTTTGGGGGGCCGAGGGCCTCACATGATCTTCCTCCTGGTGCTCTCCGTACAGCGATTCATGATGAGGTCTTTGCTGGGCCGGGGAGGAACAGCAGGTTGAGCCTTGGACTTGTTTTCTTCCTGTTCATTTTTCTCAGCTACAGGTAAAGCAGACATACGGAGGGGTCAGAGCTCTGTACCACCCCACAGCTTCATGTAAAAGTTCAAAGACTTCTTATTTAAGGAACATAAATCTTCCTGCCTCTTCTCTTCAGTCCCTGCCTTGGGATGCTCTCTGATGGAGACAGCCAAGCTTTCATTCTCCACTGACCCGGGGCTCTGCTGAGATGCTCGGCGGCAGTCACTCAGCATCTGGGCTCAGCCGGCCTCGTCCTGGGGGTCACGGTGGTGACGCGAGCCCGCCTTGGCCCCACTGGAGCCCTGTTCGTGTGGGGCCTCAGCACTAAGTCTCCCTGGAGGTCGCAGATCCCACACCATGACTACCAGAAATTACTTTACCTGATTAGTGGGGCTTCTAGTCAAATCATTCACCTTACTAGCAGCATCATTCATGCACCCACCTCCTTGCGCGTGCTTTGATAACGCAGTTAGCATACGTGATAATGAGAATGGGTGAGTTTAGGGATGCATGGAGGAAAGCGTGGGTCCTAAACATGGGCTGACCTGCCAGGAACTATTGAGGGCAGGAGGGTCACCATTTTCTGCTTCTTCTTTGTCAGACTTATACCCAGAGGTAATCAACCCCATCCAAATAGAAATACCTCCCTCCACATGCCTTCCCCACAGGAGAAGAGGACTGGACAGGCAAGGTGTGAGCTGTATGTGTAGTCCTACTGCGTCATCTCCTCTCCTGTGATGACAGCAGAGCCAGAGTACCCCCTGCAGAGACTGCCCATGGCCATAGGGACAGCCTAAGCCTTGGGGCATAAAACACAGAGGGTTTTGAAGAAAAGAAGACTCACCGATGATGTTGGCCTTGACCTTGACATTGCCCTTCATGTTTCTCCGGCTCTGGATATACTTCTTGCTGTTCCGCCTATAGGTCTCCTGGCTGATCTGCTTCCGGCTCTGCTTATGAATGCTCTTAGCATTTCGGATGGTAGATCTGCAGTGAGTCAGAAATGAAACTTTCAATTTCCATTATTGCAGCTGTCACTCCACACACTTTCTCATTCAGGATTTCCCCGTCCCTGCCACTTGCAGAGACCTGGTGCAGATGGAGGCAGCGCTTCCTCTTTTGATTCTGCCGTACACCAGTATCTGCTTTTCATTTTTGCTTGGCAGAAGGCAGCAGGTTAATGCTGCCTTTGTGGGCAGCCATAGGTGAAATGTTATACACAAAGTGTTAGCAAGCAGCTGGAGCAGTGCTTTGGAAACAAATACTGAAGGCTAAAACCTGAGCACAAGCATGGAAAGTAATGATGGGGTTGCCAAGCTAGATGAGGAATAGTGCTGAAGGGACATGATAGGCCTGAGGTTTTCCAGCATCCGTACTGGCTGCGGCATGCATATCCCTGGGGTGGCAGTGATCTCCCCCACCCTCCAAGAATCAGTCCCTGTACTAGAGGAAACAGAGTTTGGGGACACACTTCACCGCGCAGCTCTTTGTGTGGTGTCGAACACAGAGCAGAGAAACTACAGCAAGACGTGAAAGCCCAAGATGCTGGGCTATACAGTGGCATGCTGCCACTGGGAAACCCCCAGGCTGTGGGACTCTCCCCAGGCAGCTGGAATGAGGCCACCACCTCGTTCTCATTACCGGGGCCTGAGAGAGGTGGTTTCCGCTATCTGTCCCACAGCTTTGTCCTCCTGCTTGGCTCAGGGGCACCTGTAGCCCTTCGCTGAGCCCATCTGCCTTCGGCCTCTACCCAGTTTCAACATGTGCCCAATTTCATAGCAATGCATCATGAGAGAGCTCTTTCCCACAAAGGCAGATCTCAACCCTGGCAACTGGGCTCTGCCTTGGGGTGCTCTAAGCCCAGACTCACACTTTAGCCTCTCCTTGGCTAGTACCATGAATCTTCCTCCATTTCTCCTACATGCTGCCATGACCGGTCCTATAGAGACAACATTAGCTGCTCTTCACCATGGAGAAGGCAAATCCTCCTGTCCTTGAGACAGGCCACGTCACCTCCCCCAAGGGTATCAGTAAGCATCACTGCACTCAAATAGGTGGATTTATGTCATTTTACACCGGCTCACAATCAATCCATGCTCCAGCAGGGCTGGATTTTGAGAGATTTTCTAGCAAAGCTGCCCTGTTCTTTTGTAGAGAAGAAAAGATGAAGGCAAGCTCTGCCCTTCCTAGCAGTTGTCATTGCATCAGCATTAATCAGTTATTATTGCTTTTTATCTTTTTAATCAAAATAAAATCCCTTCCATTAGCTCAAATCCTCCCATCAGATTAGGCCATTTGGCAGCTCTGATTAGTCAAATCTCTCCTCGCTCCTCAAAGGTTCAGTGAATGCACTTAGGAAGAAAAACCCAGTTTGAAAATTAAACGAGATTAGCCCAGAAAAGAAACTTTGCAGAAGGACAAAGAAAAATACGGCTGACTGGAGGCCTTGTTGGAGCAAGGCCCGCACAGCCCTGCACCAGGAGTGCTGGGCTGCCTCTCCTCCCAGGTGAGGCAGGGAACGGAGCTATTTTTGCTGGAATCCTGCAGGATCTGCTTCTTGGTCGTTCCTGCCTCTGCTCACGTCTCTCCTAGGCAGTTCCCCATTACCAGAATGAGCAAGGGATGTCTCAAACCACTGTCTGGTTTCATTTCACCCCCCTCCCCGCCCCAATAAAGCTTTCATGCTCCTCCCTTCCTCCCTCCCGAGGCTTTCCTACCTCCGAGGAGGGGCGCTTCGGTTCCTCAGCTCGCTCTTCACGGGGCTGTTCTCCTCCCCAGATTTCTGCAGGTACATGGAGGGGTAATAACCTGTGGCTTCATCCTTCCTGCGGTACAACACAAAGCAACACTGCATGCAATCATAGCTCTTTGACCACCATGGCTTTGCGCCTGTCCCAGGCAGGCTCGGTGATGCTGAGGGGGGGATAAGTTCTCATCGTGACGTTGCCTGCAGGGATGGGGGCTTGCACTGTTCCCCGAGCCTGTCTCCCTGTTGTTCTCCCTGAAAGTGTGTTTTCAGTCCCAAAAGCAAGTAGGTAGCAGAACCAGGCAGAGCAACAGCTCACACCCTTCAGGGCCCCGTTGGCTTCCATTATCTCCCCTGGAGGTTTCGCTGGGCTCCTCAGGCATCTGCTCTTGCCAGATGGCCGCTGTTTCCCCAGCCTCCATCCCAGCTGCCCCCTCCAGCCTCTGCACGGTCCCACCCTTCTGCTTTCAAGTCAGCAGCTTCCTTCACTTCCCTGCTCGGCCCCACAGCAGGTTATTACATTGGGCTCCTGCTTTCGGTTGCCTAAGCCCAGCACACCTGCAAATGCCATGAAATCCTTCCTGTGCCACTTGTGCGGGCACAGGGTGGGGTGGGAGGAATCACCTGGGTTGGTAGCTGCTACACGTCCCTGCTGTGAATGTGCACTTTGTGACTCTCCAGAGCACAAACGCAGCTGGGGTTCCCCTAGGGAACATCCAAGTCTGCATGCCAAGGCTGGGATGGAAGATGACATTTTGCAAAGCAAAACATGCCAGAATACTTAGAGGTACCCGAAATAACAAATACATTTTTTTTCATCTGCCTCATTCTTGGATATATCTAAACCACTGGCAGAGGAAGCACCAGCCACAATGTCTAACATTTAGCAAAGCCACAAGACTGCTAGAAGCAGTTCTGCAAAAGGAAGTGTGGGCAGTGGCACCAAACAATCCACATATTTCACAGCCCAGATGTAGCGAACGGCTGGTTGGTACCTCCACTCTCCCCAGCTCCCACTTATCTGATTCATTCTTGGCATCTCTCACCTGATGACCCACCAGCCATCGAGTAGCTTGTGGATGACTTCTATAGTTTCACCCTCTTTGAGAGTCAGCTCATCCTCCTCAACAGCTGTATAGCTTTTCTGGACAACGTAGAGCTCACCTGTGCATACAAAATTGGGACAGCTTGATGGGCGGGTTGTGTGTTATCCCCACGTGGTGCTGCCCCCACTGATGGGACTCAGCCTTTCCAGCCACTGAGGAGAGGAGGCACCAGAGCATCCACCCCAAATTTCCAGAGTGCTTCAGGTCTCCGAGTTTGGATTCAGACTTCCCCCAGGGTTGTCTGTGCCTGTGGCTCAGTTTAGGCCCCTCTAGCACCTCGCCAGTAGAGAGCTAGTTAGCACAAGTAGTTGAAGCACGATCTATCTGCGCTGAAGAGTGTATTTATAATTCAGGTCATCAAATGAGGAACAAGGAAGTGTTGTGCTAATAGAGTCTGTTACAGTGTTTTGAAAACCACAAAGACGAAGCCATGAAAACAATAAGCATGAATCTGCAGGAACCTCCTTCTGTTCTGTGCAACAGGGACCCACTGTCATGGTGGGGTGGCACAGAGGGTGGACAAGACGAGCACAGAAGCTGACTGCTAGAAAAACCCTGCGCCTCAGTTCAGATACTGCACTTTGCTCATTTGCTAATGCAGCCACACAACATGCACCCAGCTAGCTCAAGACACTCAACTGGCAGGAGCTGAAATGAAGATGTGCATCTACGATGAAACAAAACAAGCATCTAATGCTGAGCTGCAGGTCACAACCTCCTGCTCCTGAGGTTGAGAGTGAGGCACCCAGCCATAAGGTTTATCCTTCCTGGCAGCTCCTACAGCAACGTCTCCATGCCCAACAGTTCTGCCTCAGAGTGGACTGCCTGACTGGAGACCCTGCAACGAATCACCTTTGCCGGGTCGGGCGGGAGTTGTGCAGAGGGACTGTCTAACTGTGACTAGCTGGCGCTCTCATGGGTATTCTGGTTATCCGAACCTTTTACCTGCGTAGTTGGGCTCCTGCTCTTCAGATTCATCGGGACCATCCATCGGCTCCAGATAGGCAGCTGGGACCCAGCCCCGCTTATTCTTTAACTGGCAAAACCACCAGCCTGTAATGAAAGCAGCCGTGGGCAACAATCCAGTCAGTACCTCCCACTGATGGGCCCTGCAGGCCCCATGTTGAACCAGTGAGGAGCCTGCGTCCAGATGTCAGATGGGAGAAAGATGCGCAGAGGGTCCAGGCGAGGGAGATGCGTGGAGCCCACAGCGAGCAGCCAGCCAGCCTCTTCTTTAACCCTCCATAGGGTGCGATTCACCTCCGCTAACTTTAAAAAACATCTCACCTGAGTGAGTCATCTCCACTCCCTGGGGAGCAGTGGGAAACTGGTGCGAGCTGCATGGGAACACACATTTCCCTCCACTAATTACAGAGAGAGTTTAGAAAATATCTCTCAGGGAGATGTCTGCACTGTGACTGTCCCCAGTGAGGCTGGCTAATTCCTCCTGCAGGCTAGACAGCCACAGATGCTCCCTGCTGTCATCCCGACCAAGACACTTCACGTACCAGCAAGGGCAGGAAGGAAGTCAGGCACAACCAGCATGAAGCAAACCTAAAATCAGTGGCTGCAACCTCACCCCCCCACCACCCAGGGGTCTTTCTATTGCTTGTAGGTTGGGTCAGAAAGAGCAGAGAGGGAATGATGTGCAAAGAAAGCAATATAGTGGCATGGACGAGTGCAGAAAGAGGCCACAGAGCCACCCCAGTCTGGCTATAGGTTCAGGTGAGAAGCAACTGGTATTTCCCTGGGTCTGTCCCCACCAAGGCAGCATAGGAGCAGGCATAGGTAGGTCCACCAGCCGGAAGAGAAAGTGCAAGGAGCAGATCTCTATTTATGTACTGTAGCCAGGGGAACTATTCCGTTCATACTATTTCCTCATAGGGAGGAAACCTCACATGCTGAGGCATGCGAGAAGGTTGCAGGGTTTTCTAGGATTGTGTCATAGCCTTCTTGGCCAGAGCGTACTGTCATGTGAAGCCTTGTGAATGTGAATAGTGCCCCAGCGGGATGGGAAGCTGTGAGAATTTTGTTGCTGTTGTTTATATTTGCTCTGAGCTTCTCCACTCCTTTGGGAGACATCTCACAACGCGGCTTGCTGCCTAATGCCCAGCGCACCAGTGTAACTCCCTGCGGGTGCCATAGCCCCATGCCAGAGCAGAGCGGCATTGGGTCGGGCATGCAAACGCCAGACGGAGGGTAATCCTCGTCCCAGCTGAAATGCAGTCCAGGCCCGGGCTGACCCTCAGGGCTGCAGTTTGAGGGTGACTCTCCAGAATGATGGTCACATACCACTCTCGCTCTTCTCCACGACGTCCACCATCTCCCCAGCTTTCAGATCCATCTCGGACCTGGAGCTCTTCTCGTAGTCGGCAATCACTCGGTATGTTTGCAGGACGATGGGACCCGTTATGTCTGTGGGGGAGAAGTGAGAGATGTTCCTTTACCCGGATCCCAGAGCAGAAATACCTTTTTTCAGCCAGGCCAAAAGCAACCTCCACGGCAGCCTAAAGCACTTTTCCATCCTCTTCTGGGTCCAAGCAAGCTGGATCCCAGGCTGTGGACTCAGTCACCCCCAGGATCTTGCTTCCTCCCAGCTGTAGCATTGGCATAGGCAAGGCTGTTTTTTTTGCCCCTCGCACTGCTCTGTCAGGGGCTCTACCTGGGGACAGCTCTCCTCCTACTCAGCACTGCCCCATCCTCCCTGGAGATGTCCCTCTCCCTACCAGGCTTTGGTCCCCTCTCAGAGGGCGCCACGTGCTCATTGTGCCATGGGCAGTCGCTCAAACCCCTTGGAGGCCTCTTACCGGTGGGGTTTTTCTTGGAGTCCTTTGGCAGGAGGAACACCTCAGGCTTCTTGAACCTAAATGGGTCAGAGTCAAGTCAGAACAGTGCAACACACCCTTCCCTGCTGGCAGCAGGTTCCCCTCCCTGCTTGCTGCGGGCGCCCCCGGGAGGCTGATAAGGGGTGGAGGTGCCCTCGGCGCTGCTGGTGCTGGGAGCACGTTGCCGAGGGAAGCAAGGCACCGGATGCCGGTGGTGCTGGCAACCATGGACTGTGTGGCTGCAAAGCCCTGTGCCACGGTGTCACAATCACGCTTCTCCTGCGTGCCTTGCGTACCAACGGCTCTCGAGGGCCCTTCTTTAGTGTTTATACACCCATGGTGGGGCAGTTCAGGCAATAGGAGATGTCCTCAGCTTGCAGTGTCGGTTATTATTAGCCACAGCGCTCAAAGAGTTAAAAAAAAGCCTGTGGGTACTGCAGCACGGGCCAGTACCCCCACTTCCCTGCAGCTCAGTCTCACTTTCCAGAGGAGCAGGCACTTCTTACCCCGACTCAACCGGATCATTTGCTTTGAACGTCCTCTCCACCACCAGGCCTGCTGCCAGGCTCCCCCAGCAGCAGGGGTGCCACAGGGGCACAACGGGCTCCCTGGCACCCCATCACAGCACGCCACGAGC